ATCAAGCGACAAGAGACCCCTAGAATGTAATTATATTTTAATTAAATATACGTATATTTAATTTAAAAGAAATTTAATGGAACCGAAATATAAAGTATACGTTCGAATCGTAGAATTTGAAATTTAAGAACAAGAAAAGAGGGACGAATGTGATCTGTTAGCGAACCATTCTGCGTCTTTATGCAATTTTAAATTTAAAATTGTGCCGTATGTGGTAACGTAGAAGGATGTTGTTACGAATTTGAAGTTGGAGGCAGCCAATTAGAGGCTTATGTTCAGAATACTTAACGGTTGAAACAGACGAAGTAGGGAGAGAAGATGTAAAAGTAGATATATATATATATATATAAGTATACTTTATACAAAATAAAAATATTAAAACTATTTTCGTCTGGCTTTCTGACAGTTTGGGCCCCATAAGAATTAGAATTGATGAAGAAGGAATTCTTCGAATCTTTTGCAACGTTTCAGATTCTTGTTCTTCTCTATATTATAGATATTATAATGTATAGAGATATAGAAATAATCGTAGGTGGATTGCACGAGGAAATTACGTCATACTTTTCCAACAATTAGTCGATGAAATATATGAAATATCAATGCGTCCTGTATTACACAGATTTCAGAATTTCGTGTTCAACCATTGTTACCTCCGGTTATTCACCAATTAGTAGTCCCATATCGAACGATTATTACGTATTGCCACGCGATTGTCGAACCGAGTGTTTCAACTAATCAAATCTAGAATAAATTAATCGAACGAGACGTATCGCGAGCGATTAAATTCGAATCCAATTTCTTCACAATACTTGGAAGATACACGAATTTACACGAGATGAATTGGAACAAAAAGTAAGACAAAAGAAAAACAACTTTAAGATTAAAGATTTTATATGAACAAGTAAATGAAAACCTCATTATTCGAGTTAACCTTTTTACATATATCTGAATTGTATGAATTTTCTCCGTCTCTTTTTGAGGATCCTACATTTAATCGAATATTCTAATTGAATATTTCAAAACTGTTCCAGTAGAAGAGGAAGGGATCATTCATTAATCGTTCCAGACTTTCGATCCAATTTATATAATCCGAATACAATTGATTCCAAAACTCCAGGAGTTTAACCAGCAACTCCCGAGTATTTCATACTTGCAATACTTACTTTCTGACGTGTGATTCATCACCAAAAATGGAATACCAAACATCCACAAATTATCAATGTAAAATTTTTCAATGTAAAACATTAACACAATGGAATGCCAGGTCAGAACCAGAATCGATTCGAAATTTCAATAAAATCGATGCAGACAGACTCGGGAACAAACAAATCTGATTTTCACGCTTTGAATTTTTCATCGAACGGCGAGAAATAAAAAGAATGATATCCGATTTGAGTTGATTCGAGAAGGATGCTCGTCACAGGGCGGAGATTTTCTATTTCGTCGCGTGGAAAAGAAAACGAGTTGGGGATGGGAGCGAGCGCGTACGTCTGCGAATTAGCTAGCAGCCCGAGCACTTTGTGCGCACAGTTACTTCCCCATTCCCTTTGCTCCCTTCCGCCTTTTGCACGCTCGCTACCCCTCAATGCGACTCCACCGAGTACATACCGCGCCACGTCCCTCCATTATTCATGACATTATTTTCCACTTCGATAACTAACGCGATCGACTTTTCAGGGGGGGGAGATCCTGCGGCTCGCAAATCCGTCCGCTCGCGGTCCGGCTCCCGTGAAAAATTTATATCGATTCGGCCTCGCCTCATTTTCGAAATGCGAGAGAGAAGAAGGGAAGGAGAATTTTTTTGCGTTGATGGTAATATCATTAAGAAAACGTTGAGTCGATCGTTCGAATTTAATTATTTAATCGAGGGAATGAAAATTTGGGGACGTTGGGATAAGGAATATTTTTACAAATTCATTTCGTAAGGAATGAGTGTGAACGATTTTTCGCGTGTAAATGGCAGCGAGTATTCAAAAGCACGTTTCATATAGTAAAAAAAAAAAAAAGAAAAAAAAAATGCAGTTATATCTTTACGAATTTCATATATTTCTTTCAGCCAAAAACTTTGTATTGGAGGGTGACAAATATCGAGGCAAAATGAACAATGGAGAAAATTTACAGTGTATGGCAATTTAGGGGCGAAAACATGAATGGAGAACCCTTTGGAAATTCATGGATTAGGCGCGATATAACAGACGCTAATATCGTGAAACGTGTCACGACGCAACTGTCTTTTCGGTATCAAATTAAATTCCTGAGAACATAGCCCGTCATTATTAAAATATTTATAATTGGATCGATATTTAATAACATTGTCTCTTTTGACGCGGCCGCGTTGTGAAATTCAATTAAATTGTTCCCCCGCTTTGAAAATTTCTAAGTGGAAATAATTAATGTTTCGAATAATGTATAATAATACGTGTAACAGTTTTTCTTTTCTTTTTTCTTTTACGCAATAAGAAATTAATTGATTATACTCGAACGTTTAATTTGAGTATATGTTTCGTTAAATAAATCGATTATTATGCATATATTATAAACATTATGGGAGTATGAGATTAAAAGTGAAAGAAAAAGAGTGAAATGCTGTTTTGAAATGAGAAATTATCACTTGTCAAAACGAAAGAGTATAGAATAATGTTTCAACAGACGAGAGAGAGAGAAAATTGTTTCGGAAAAATGGATTTAATTTTTAAACCAATTTGAATATTTTCTTACATTTCAACCGATTACATAAAACTGTTATTTTACGATCCACTGACACGACACTTCTTTTTTCTCGACACTTGCTATGTCCATCTGTAATTCTTACAGCAACAGCGACAAAATAGAAAAATCTCGTACCGGAAGAAAACTACGTGCGTGAAAGGATTTTTCCGTTTACACGCATTCAAAAGTGTGGAAACAGTAAGAAATAAAACCATCATTCGTCAAAACGAAAAGAATGATAAAATATTGGATTAGAACGTTGAATTTGTATATTATTAAAATTGTATAAAAATATTAGATATTATCGAATTTTTTCCTTCTAAAATAATTGTCAATGTAAATAAATATTTATTGTAAGTTACTTTGATAATTATTCGCAAGAATATGGATGCTTCCAAACATTTTAACAATAAATAATATACGAGACGTTATATTTTTAAAGATTCTCTAAAAGGAAAACGACTCGTAGTCCACGATATCACTACGATAAAGTGAGAAACAAATATTTAATCCGTAGAGTCTTCGTGATAATCGTGCAATTTCTCTTGTTGCGTATATGACATCGCATAAATAACAAAATTACGATAAAACAGCTTGTTAAACGTATTATGCAATGAAATCGTATCAATTATTGCAAACGATATTGTTATTAACCTTGTCAGAGCGATCATTAATTAACTTGGAGTCAATCGATGGAAAGTGGCGAATATTCGGCCGAATCTGTTGAACGTAGACGCAAAACAAAATTAATTAACAATAGAAAATTAACAATAAAAGTCGATTTTATATCGACTCGAATTAATTAATCGTTCGTCCCTGGAAGGATCTTCAGTGTTCGTGCATTAAAAATTCAATCATCCGCTTGAATAAATACGCAACACTCGCGAGATATGTTACGGAAAATCGGCCAACAATTTCATCGACGCGATAATTCACATATTCTCTCTGCGAGAATATAATAAACAGAGTTTTCTGCGATAGTGCAGCTATGCAAACAGTTGAATACAGACGCGAAATATTACGAATAGTTGCAAAATCAATATTTCCAGCAGCTATAATTAACTTATTAAAAAAAGAATTTTACGTTCATCGAATTGTTAGGAAAAATCGCATTCCATTGACATCGACGAGGAATCTTCTTTGGTCATTCTTTTTTAAAGATCGTTCATTAATCGTCTAAAATGGAAATTGACAGCGTCGTTAAAAAAAAAAATTTATGAATCAGCCGAAACATCAAGTAAATATAACCATTAATCTCGATATTGAACAACAATTAAGTATTATTCTACATTATTACAATATACGAGGATTTTCCACCATTTCTTTGTTTAGTTTCGTCGAAGAAGAGTCTTCTTGCGCGAATTTAAATTTTTCCATCTAAACGGAAAAGAAAAGAGGAAACAAAAAGGAAAGGAGCGTGGCCACGTCGATGCACACACAGATACACCATGATGATGCAACGAATCAAGCGAATATAAATTCACACTTGCCGTCCGAACGTGAGATATAAACGCCGATTCCTCGCTTCTTGCGCGCGTAAATCTCACGATTTACGAGCAATAGTAGATACATTTGGGGAAAAGATGGTCAAAAGTGAGTTCTGGCGCGCATTCACGCCGAGATATATCGAGGCTGATCGTATTTTTGCTTTTACTCTGTGAATTCCAGAATCGAAAAATTAGATTTCCTTTTCCTCTCCGCGTTTCAGTTGGACAGAAAGAATACAGAAAAATTCTAAAAAAGAGAAAAAGTGAAACGAAAAAATAGAATGAAATGGTATATGGCAAATATATATACGACAGGGCGTCGATTATCGAGACCGGTATTGCATCGTCCCTATTCCATCATCTCTTGAAGCCAGTGCAACGATATCGATTGATATAGCAATTACTCTTTGAGGTTAAAAAAATAGCCCGAAACCTACGCTGCAGATAAGATATTCTGAAAAATCGAAAAATCGACGTAACTAATTTTAATTTCGTAATTAAAATTCATTTTCAACAATTGCAAAAACCTAATTGATTCTCTGCCTCAAAGAAGTTACATTTCAAATTGCAGCAACGGTATTTAATTCTTACTCTCGTATTTAATAAGTAATTCAACCAACGTGTAATTTCTGGAATTATAAATTGTGCAAGCAGGCAAGCAATGCGTGCCTCGTTATCCGGCATATTATGCCTTCTAATCAGCCCCAATTAATTCGAACGCTCGTAAATTCAAATTTTGAACCGATTATTATTAATCTCTCAAGTTTTTCCGCCGAATTATAAATTCGTTCTTTCATCTTCCAGACGACGAGAACTCGTCCGTATACGGGATGGTGACGGAGGAAGGGCTGTTCGATGGAACGATCTCGACGGCGTCGGGCGAGATCTACATCGAGCCAACCAGCAGATACGCTCCCCCCGTGTGCCACAGGCAAGACGGCGGGGATAATGACACGACAGACGCCATGCATCACCATACGATCGCGTACCGTTCCGTGGACGTGAACATCCCCCGCCGCAGCGGATATCCGTGCGCGAGCGAGCTGTTGCGAGGGAACACGTTAAATGAATTAAGGTAAACACATCTTCAACTTGCCGCGAGCTAAATAACGTTTCACGCGATGTTACAACGCGTAAAGTATAATTTTCTCTCGCGAGGGCGACTAAAACGGGGCGTTAATTATGAACAAAGCGCGTTAGGCCGCGGTAATAAAACCGGTCGGTCGAGTTTCTTTACGAGGACGTTACACGCTTGAAACAAAGTTTATCACGTTCAAGTTGCATTACGTTCTCAAATATGTACGCTGTAAACTCGTTAAAAGATGTTATTCGAGAATATTAAACGCAAATAGTTCGTGAAGAACTAGTGGTTGCTTCGCGTCCATTTCACGTTTAAAGCCAAAAGTCTTTATTGCGTTTTTTTTTTTTCTTTTTTTTTTGGAAGAGAAAGCTCTTTTAATTTTAAATTTCTATATTTTTATTTGCGTGTTATTAATCCATTGATTTGTAAGTTTGATTTTTTTACCATTCTTCTTCTTTGCAATCGAATCATCGACGTGGATGGAAACTTATTTAACAAGGTTCAGGGTATCGTTTCATTCATATAAATAACTTGGTTATTTGATTATATTCGTTGGAATAAAAGAGGAGATAAGAAATAAATCGAATTCAATCTTCTCGGCCAAATTTAACCTTGTATCGCGTTTGAGACAGCTTAGCATGCAATTTGGATGTATAATATCTTCCCGTATGATCTAACATATCCAATATTCCAGATACAAATTTAATATTGATCGATAACCCAGTATCCACCGACCGATTTAATAGAATTTCAGGTGCCACTTTGAAGACGGCCGAAAGATAGATATCCGACTTTTACTACATCGCCAATGTTTAATGCTCTTGACGTGCCATTGTTCACGGAAATCAGTGAAAATATAAAAGAGAATTCAAAAATAAAATAACGCTTTCATTCGGATTCTTGAATTTACATTTATTATGTACAGCAATACTGACATAAAAAAAGAGCAAGAAAAATCGGTTTGGATTTGGAAGCAAATCAATCGATCACCTCATTGACTTGTGATCGATACGTTTTATTGTAGAAATTCAAAAAAATTGAAATCCAGATTTCCGATATTATACTCATGCAAAGAGAATGAAGGATGAGCGGAAGGATTTTCAATATAAGATTGCGATTATTTTGATTATTTATTTTGAAGAAACATGAAAGTCATTTTCATGAGCATCGAATCTCGTTTGCCATTCCAATCAAGAAACGCGACAGAAATCTTTGTATCGTTTCCACTGTATGCGTATATCCATCTACGTTAGAACGCAAGCTTTAAATACTTTAAACGCTCGTTCAGCCCGCGTTCAGTTTTCGGAATCACATCACGTGCTACGCGAGGAATTAAACGTGTACAGCGGGGGGAAAAAAGAAAAAGAAAAAAGTTATAAAACGCGAAAACTGCGACAGTACATAATAAAATAGTCGTATAAAAATGAAACGTATGTATAAAACGTGAAATGCAAAAATGAATTGATCGATTCGAGTAAGAAAAAGTACGCTTAAACAGTTACGTTAAATCAAAAGATTGCAATTGCTGTTCAACAAGTGTGTACATACATTCCTCTATTGCTGGGATATCCTTTCTTCTCGAATTTGGCTAGAAAATTCGTTGAAATTTATTTGTAGAACGAAATATCGAGACGATGCATCGAGAATGGAATCCTCTTTCCATACGACTGCCACAGAAATGATTGCCAAAAATAAAAAGATTCGAAAGAAACGAAACGAAACGTTTAAAGGGAATCCAACGAATTCCATCACGATTCCCCTAACCCCCTCTCTTGTCTTGGCGCGAGATTCGGGAAGGAGTCCCGCTGGAAACGATCCTCCAAGTAAATTGGCTCCAACCCTGTTACGTATTACTCGACATATGTCACCCTTATCTCCTCGCCGCATCCCCGACGATTTCTCTCGATTTATCCCGGGCCAACGGAGTTGATCAGTTCACCTCGGTGAGGGATTCGCCCGCCGCTCTTCCTCTGCACTTTTCCGAACGCTTAAACGGCGAAAAATCGTTTGCAGGACGACGAACGGGACGTGGAGCGGATATCTCGGGGAGCGGCCGCTCTATCAATACGAGGGGAAGCCCCGTGCCAAGCCCGGCTTGTATCCGAAAGACGTTAGGAAGAAGGACCCGATGGCGAGCTCGCATAATTTAGAGGTGCTCGACAGGTAATCTTTTCCACGAATATCTTCCTCCTCCTCCTTCGTTCTTTTTAATTTTGCCCTGGTATCCGCCGCCTTCTACGTCTCGGTGTTATAATACATGCTGCTTTATTCGAGCGATTAATCTCTGGTTTCTATCAGTAAATCGTTTTCAAAAAATTGTAAATCTTCTTCTTTGAAAATGTTTCATATCTCATTTCACGGGGGAGGAAAAAAATTAAATAGCAAAGCTTTATTGTACAATAACGACGGATAATTCCATTTTAGTTTGTTTTATTTTCTCGCGTATTTATCATATTTTTCGAAAAGACGAAAGTATAATTTCATATCCCGAAATTCGAATAGCAATTTCGAAACACTTTCGCGGTGACGTCGTTTCACCTGTCCGACCACGAGCTGCCTCGTTTCGCTCACGTCAACGCGAAAAGTTACGAAAAAAAGAGAGAGAGAGAGAGAGAGAGAGAGAGAGAGAGATAGAAGAGAGAGAGAGGAGGAGG